GAGCATTGCAGAAGATTTTGAGTGTAAGCTCCTCTACACTTTCCAACTCGTATTATATCTCACATTGCATGGTCGTACTTGAAGTTATAGAGGAAGATCGCGCCAGTAAACTAACAGCCTCGAGGGTACGTACGCAAAGCAGGCGTACAATAAGGAAACGTCGCCGTGGCTGTCTGGCTGAATGCGCCCTCCCACGCGAAGTGCACCTGCCAGCCCTCGCTGCGCCACAAAAGGCGCCTAGAAAGCGCCGCGAAGCGATTTCCAGCGACAGCCGCAACGAGCACTGGGGTCCCGATGGTGCGCCCTTCGTTAGGGCGCCCCTCCCTCCACTTGGACACGCACGCGCCCATGGAGAGCTGCGGCGGGCCAAATGGGACTAAGGAAGCAGGTGCGCTCAAAGGGGACTTTGATATAGATGTATATTTTTTATATTGCGTTTATGTTGTCATCAACTGAAGAAGAAGAAAAGCGATGGCGACACACCTTCTACACTATTGCACCCAGCATGACAAGTAACAACCTATATGAAATCACCAGAATAACTTCACAGTCAATCGTCGGAACATTTAATAATGCTGGGCCTATAGACTTTAGACGAATATGTTACGTGTAAGAAGGGTGATAATAGTATTATGTCTAACATTTAAGTAATTAGGGTTTTAATTTATTAAAAGTATAAACACTGAATTTTAAATATCGTATCTTTTCTCGCAGTGTTAATATAGAGAATTTTCAGCTCTCCAACGTGATGTACTGCAATGGAAGTAGCATCAGGGCTCATTCAACGTTTAATAAATAAACAGCAAACAATTAATGCATCAGCATATTAATAAAATGATTATTAATTAAAAGTGAGAAATTGTGCCTTTTCTGAACTGTACCTGCATTTTGAGTCAGGCATGTGGAATGACAGAGTTTCATTTTGGATTCTACATGTCTGGAGAATACTAGAGCTAGATTTCCTTTTCCATAAACGATCATTAATCCTCATGAGCAAGAGTACAATCATTTAACCTCATCGCCGAGCGTGGCAGCAACTGAAAGGTATGTAGCAAGTCCAACACGTTTATTACATTTCCATAGCTAAATATCATGCTATACATTCACGAGACTATTAGTACAATATAGCAAAGTTCAAATTACTAGAGCTCGGGGACTATAGGAAGGAAGCATCCGATTAGTTATACGAACCAAACACTAGTTTTTATACAACGTAGATAGGTATTGAATGTTGTCTTATAGAGAATATAAAATGTCCATTATCGAGATGCGAGTCGATCTAGCAAAATTGCATAAAACGCGTGCAGAATACAAAATTACACAATATACATATCCATCTAAGCTAATTATTCGGCATACAGTCATGGTAGCTGCTTTTATGCCATTAATTCCTGAAATAATTGGTCAATGCAATGTTTATGTAAATAGTACAACAGAAAAAAATCGCTCAGACATCGGGAAATGGGGAAGGAAAGAAAAGAAGACAGAAAGAGAGGAGTGGGGGAGAGAGGGGGAAGGAGAGGGAGAGAAAGAAGATGATAGAGACTGAAAGAGTGGTGGAGACAAACACGAAGTTAAAATCAAGGACCCAGTCAAGAATGAAATTTACAAAAAAAATATACGGCGAAGCAAAATTCTTTCAGAGAAAACCCATTATTAATGTCCATTTCCATGAAAAATAAAGACTTTAACAAATACTCGAAGCGCACGCACTAAAAACAAACAAAAAGGGATTCCAGAAGCCAAGAAGGAAAACAAGGGAAGCGCATACACAAAAGGCAGCGCCATTTATCACACGAGCGCCACCGCAAAGGGCCTCTCTCGACCAGAGGTGCGAAGCGCCGCCACCTCCTCCCGCGCTCTCGCTTTCGCCCACCCCGCCACCTCCTGCCGCGCGCGTCCCTGGGGCCCTTGCTGCTTCCGCACCTTCGCCCTCCGCAGGCCTTTTTAGGGGGCCCCGAGAGCTCTCGCCGCCCCGCCCGTGCTGCTCGGCCGACCATCAATAATTCATCGGCAAGCCGCTCGCAGACGGAGGGCGGATTCGAAGGAGGGAGGATACTGGGGATTCAGGGAAGGCGCTGGGGACAGCAACCAGGCAGGGGTGGTAATGATGGCTGCTGATGGAGGTAGCGGTGGAAATGTAATGGTGGTAGCTGTGGTCCAATTGAGTGATGTTGAGGGTGGAGGCATAAGAGGTGGCTACGGAAGCGCCGGAGGCTGCGATGGGCAAAGCAGGAGTGGCGGCAGCAAGAGAGTGACACATGCAGAGACTGTAACACAATCACTGGCGTAAGTCTGCCCACAGGGACGGCGGGTTACGTTCATGTGAACAGTGGTACAGACGAAGGCAAATATAATATTAGTGGCGAAATCAGCAGGACCGATCAAGATTGATGGGGCTTAATAGTGTAAATGGTTGTGGAGGCGGTGATGGTAGACGAGGTAGGGGCAATGGTGGCTGTGACGGCGAAGAACGCAGTGGAGGTGACATGGGAAGTGGTAGTAAATGAAGAGGCAGTAGTGTTGCAGCCCAGATACTTATTACCGCGAGGTTGAATCCTGGAGTGTGCCACTTAGTGTGACCCTTGCTTTCTTCCTCGCCGACCCTTCCAACGATGCCGTGCCATAAGGGTGCCTCGTCGATACGCGGCGATTTATGACGAAAGTGAACGCGGGAGCGTGGCAGGTCGGAGGAGGGAGGGCAAAAGAGAACTCCGCGAAGCAGAACGACGGGAGAAATAAAGGGGCCAAAGAGAAGCGGGTCGGAGCCGTGTCAAAGGGTGCCGCAGCCACACAGTCCTTACTCCCACTTTTTGAGTGTACTTTCCATTCAACTTCTTCTGAAGTTCTTCTTTTGGACAAACTAAAATTACTTCAAACGTTAAAACATTTTTTTGTTAACTTCCACACCAGGTTACCTCCTAGAGTAGTCCTTAGGAAGAAATCCCTTACAATTTTCAAGTCATTATGTAGATGATAAAAAATAATAATTTTGCATTTGCATGACATCGAATTATAAGAAGATAGCAATCATTACGTTTTGAAATATACATATTCACACACCAAGTTTTTGAACAATAATGCACCATTTATATTACCAATAAAATGAACAACTCTTTTGATAACACATGTGCACAAGGTAAATAATAAAATTAGATATAAAAACAACAAATAGACGTTTAGGAACTGAAATATAAAATTTAATTAGATTCATGCTTTATAGTGACACTGGATATTTCAATACTTTATGATAAGCCGGAATTTATTTTTCTGGGGAGCTTTCTCCAGCTCGCATTTTATTGATGGACGATTGGTGCACTTTCTTTTAAAGCAATTTATGCTTGGAGCCCGCGCGCGTTCACCCCACATCAGACGGCCAGCGACTGCACTGAGTGCAGCATTACGCGTCCCCCGCCCGTTCTCGAAATGTGGAGAACGCGGTCTGCGCGGGAAGGGCGTCCGAACTCCCTGCGCCCCCGCCCTCCGCCCTCGCAGACACCGCCGCCCTTCGACGGCGCGGTCGCTCCGATGCCGGCAGCAACAGCAGCGCTCGCGAAGCGGGTGCGGCAACGGGTGATGTGACCGCGGGGGAGGCGACGTCACCGATGGTGAAGGAGGAGGTGGAAGCGTTGGTGGTGATGGTGAGGGGTAGCCAATCAGCTCATGAAAGAATCGGGTTAGATGGATTTGCAACAGTTTCCAGGCGGGCCGCGATGGGACATCTGCAACCCTTTTACAATGTGGGAATAGGAAATAATATTTCAAAGTCTACGTATGATGCGAAGTTGAATATATATGCTGGAAATGAGTTCTTCAAAGTCTTTTACAAACTATTTTAATTATTTTTATCCGTTATAACTGCTAAAAAATACATATATACTACTATCGTTAATTCGTTAATCCGAATCGTTACTTTTGACCCTCTGTGCCACCCACTGTGAAAATGTACAGAAGGATGAAATCAATAGTGTACGAATTATTGTACTGTTTTTACCTCTAATAATTATCAGTATTAGCTTCCAATATATTTGTCCCATTACGAAAACAAACTTGACCACTCTGTAACTTTCGGATAGCGATGGTAACTTGGAGTAACCGATGGCGGTGGAAATGGATGGGTGAAGAAACAGAGGTCGAGAAAGGCAAAATTAAAGAGAAGGCAGTGGTGAAGAAATATGAAGATACGGAGACAGAGGCCGCAGCTGTAGAAGGAAAATAGGCGGTGGTGGAGGAGCAAGAGAAGGTGGTGGTTAAAGATGAGGAAAAGATTAGACGGAAGCGTGTGTGCAGGAGGAAAAAAGAGGAAGGTAAGTAGGATGTGAAAGTGGAGATGAGAGGCAGAGTCGGCGTCTGCGGCGACATGGCAGGCGACAGCGTGTTGTGGCGGCGGGCAGTGGCGTTGGCTGAGGCGACAGCGGTGATAGTGATGGCGGCAACTGTGGCAAGTGTGGCAGCGGCGGCGAAGCGGTGGCAGGGTTGGAAACGACGGTGGCAAAAGATGCAATGATAGCGGCGGTGGCAACGGTGAGTAGTAGGCGGGGGCAACTGCAGTGGCGGCGGTGCAACTGTGCTGGCGGCGATGGCAACTGTGGCGGCGGTGCAACTGTGCT